TATAACTCAAATTTTAAAAAACAACAAAAAAGCATCCAAAAGAACAAAAAAACCCCACAAAACCATTTTTTGCAGAAACATTTGAACATTGCTGTACAAGCAGGAGTTCTACTCAACATGTACAATATTCAGTTTATGGTTTTCAAACATGTTTGCATGTTTGCTATTAAAAAATTATTCACAAATGATTAGTAGATGAGACAGAGTTTGACAGGCTTTTTTTTTTTCTCAATAATTTTAAATATCTTCAAAGGAACATCATTTTTACACAGTTCTGTTGAGGAACTAGAAACTCACTGACGCAATGAAATTAAAACTTTCTGAATCAAAACTTTTACATCATTTTGACATCATACCATCCTCGGTTCAAAAATTACCCAGAATAACACTGGCAAGAGAAAAATTGTATGAAATCTTATGAAAGATTTCATGCACATTTTATTAGGTATTTTTGGAAAACAAAACAAAACAAATTTTATAATTCCAGTGCAATTAAAAAATGCTCTTAGAAAGAACATCTATTACTTGTGCGTCCATTAATATAATGTGGCCTAGCACAGGATGCAGATACCCAAAAGAACTACACATTTCCAGAAAGGAAAATTTGGCCAAGCCTAGAAACCAGCTCTAAAAACATGTACAATGGCTGACAGGCCTTCCACCCCTATGTTTAAGCTATTAAGTATACACTGTATTGTTCTTTTGTAGAGCACTGGAAAAATGCATCTTATTAAAAAAAAATAAAATAAAAAAGAGCGATATTAACCACTCCTGTTTTGTCTAATTTGAAAAGGGACAGGCTGTAGCACTCTCATAAGTATGTATGGCCTCCCAAAGCTATACAACAAAAGCACTATTTGAAACAAATTTCAAAGCCATAAACAATTCATAAACACAGTTTATAAACTAAGGGCAGAGGAGGAGGTGCAACCAAGTCAATGAAATGGAAATCTACTTGAGAAAAGCTCTCCAACTGCTACAATGTGGTTGCAAGAGGAACACACAGTGAAAGGAAGCTGTTACAGCCCCACCACACAGAAGCCGGTGTTAGAGCCACATTTACTGCACAACTCAGTACAGCATCTCTCTGCTCAGTGAAGGCCAGCTGGAGAAATTAAATCACTTTCTTTCTTAGAAACCATTTTTACCAGTCATGATTGATTTCCACCAGTGAGAAATCTGTTGCAGCGTGTATGCCAGCTTCTTACAGGTTGTATAGAAGATCTACAGAACCTAGATTCCACCACTACAACTCAAAATAATAATAAAAAAAATTCTACCATTTTTAAAGAGCATCTGATCCTAAAAACACTGCAGTCTATATTGCACATTTTAATTAAATTCCATGTAATTTCTTTGCACATTTTATTCTTTCAGAGGACTTACAGACCTGCACTATCTTGGTTTCTGAAACTTACTAATAATGCCTTTCAAGTGGGTAGCTACCCTTCTTGCCATTAAAAACAACACAGCTTTTCCATGACAATGGCAGGAAAGTTAAAAAGTAAGCAAGTATCAAGCACATTTTTTGCTACTTTGAAACAGCAACTTAGTAGCTGAAAACAAAAGACTTCTAATCAGCTTTCCTGGCCATTACTTAAAGACACACTGGAAGGCCACAAAGTGCATTTAAACTTGCCATGCACAAAAAGGAAGGTGTAATTTAATAGTCTATGTACTTAACTACAAAAAAAAAAAAAAAGGAGAGAAGAATTTTCACTGCTAACTTGACTGAATAATATAATTTTCCAATCACATATAACTTTGCATTTTGGGAGGAAAATTCCCACGTAAGTCACATTTAAAACCCACAAAACTAGGAAGCAATCTTAAACAGGGGTGGGGGTTTTGTTGTTAAAATTAAACAGTAAGCAGGTAAAGCTGTCAATCTCCATTACACCCTCCTCATTTTTCGGTTGCTTGGGTGGGGGTTTTTGGTTGGCTGGTTGGTTGGCTTGGTTTGCTTTTTTACGTTTTCTTTTTTCTATTGTCAGCAAAATGCACACCCCAGTGTCCCAATTTATTTGATACGTGTCGGCCTACACAGTGAACTACTTCACCTTTTTAAAAACTGAGTATTCTTCCTCAGTGTATGCTGAAGTATTGAGGAGACAAAACTAACCCTCAGCTACAGGGCCAAGGGAGAAGGCTACTGTGAAAGTCACTGAACAGCAGTTCCTGTGTGTAACCCACAGCTCCTGTGTCCATGTGTATGGGCCCAACACAGAGCTCGGCTCTGTGTGGTCATGGGTGGCTTTCCGTCCACACCACCTACGGAGAGCTTAAATACCTTAGATAATCTATCACTTCATTCCAAGTACAGGCATGTATTCGTCAATACTATAAAACTTTTAAGTAGCATTCAAATTTCAGAGCTTTATTTAGAACTAATTTCTGGATTTCAATTCCCTTTTCATTGTGTAGCCACAAAACTACCTCCCTCCCCACCCACAAGAATTTGTTTCAAATATATATATTTTAGACTTTTGGCAATTTTTTCCATAGTGCACCACAGTCTATTTGGCAGCTTAGCACCAGAGAGTGAATATCACTGCTGTAAAGACCTCCTGCTATACTACAAACAAGGCTGAGGTCGGGTCAAACCACTGCAGAGGTTGGTCATCCAGTCAATATGAAAACACCTGATGCAGACCTCAAATTATGGCTCCCATAGTAAATGTGTCTTGATCGCTTTCTGTGACAAGTTCAGGAGAAAACAATGTTAAGTATGCACTAGGTGGGTGAACAGACTTACTGTACAGTGGGTTTTTTTAAAAATATATATCATTATCACACATGGCAATAGTAACAGTTCAAAAGTAGCAAAATATTTAACTTGGGTTCTATATGATCAAGAATGATAGTCCTTATTATATCACAATTGCTGGTGACAAGAATTACAGTGTTGATGAGGAAAAGGGATTTTTTTTTCTTCAAAAAGCTTTGTGATTATGCACGCTGGATACTAAGAAACTGAGAAGAAATTCTAATGACTATGGAAAAAGATTTAGTAATACCCTTTTATTTAATCTCAACTTCTGTATCCTTATGTTCTGCATTTTACAACCTTCCCTACCTATCCTTTTTTTTTTTTTTAATTAGAAATTTTCCAAAAGCTGTTTCTTTCCCTCCAATCAAAATAAAAATAGCTAGTAAGACCTGTTTGTGCTTTGAAATCCTCCGTGCCCTCTTCCCTATCACTTTTAGGTTAGCTCTTGACCCATTAAGTCACAATGACAATTAGGGCTGATTCATACACACAGAGTTGGTGGAAAAGTTGCTGCAGACTACAGCAGACTTGAATCAAATGCTTACATATTAGTCCCTGTCTAAGACAGCTTCAGATGGCAGTGCTGCCAAGAGAAGCAGTCGCGCTTTCATCCATTCCCCAACTATTTATTCTTGTTTACTTGATACTTTTTCTCATATCAGCAACACCATCAGTTCAGTTACATCAGACAAGGCAACTGATCTAGACTAAAACAACTGTTTTTTTCCCTCCCAGAAATGGAAGCTATCTGTAGAGGATGGGGTACAACTCTCCCACGCTACTTAACATCATTAATGCATGTGCTGCTGCTAATAACAAATAAAATGACAAATTTTGCTCTGTTTGATAACTAAGTGCATGCTATTGTTCATCTCCTATGTCATTATGAAGAACCAAGCAACTATAGCAACCAACCAGCAAGACTATATTAGAAAAGGCAGATTTTCATTATGCCTCACTTCACTTTGGTATTCAAGCATTGCCACATTGGGAATTCAAAGTATATCGATCTCAGGAAAAGCCTCTTGAAAAAGGCTAAAGACAGGAAGAAAATAAGGGTGATTTTAATTAGTATTAAGTTGTTGAGAATTTCATGGCGTGTGGTACCATCCACCAAATAGGTACATGCAGGCATCCAAGGGCATCTTAAAGTTTGTGAGAACATAACACTGAGAATTACTGCATCTGAATCAACAGCAGTACACAGTTAAATACACTTATTTAGTAACATAAACATCTATCTATCTTTATCTATTTTATAATAATCTGTACATTCTAGTATTACACACATACCTGGATAAACTGGTATGTACAAAGTCAACTAGTGAGTAAAAAATGAACTACTTAGAAAAGCCTAGAAGTATCTTCAGCTTTAGCAGACATACGTAAATAATGATCAGGCTGCTACATTCTCACTAATTGTGAGGACTAGAAGATACTTTCAAAAATACATTAACAACGTTTTTAACCATATTTGGATATGGACCCACAGTGTATGTAAGGACATACAATTAACAACACTGCACCCTCAAATTGCTACTCAGTGATGTAAAGCATTAAGGATCAATGTGCTGCAAGTTATTTACATGCTGATGTGCTTTGCTAGTTCAGTGTGGAAATACATAAAATATCAACAGATGTGCCATGCAAAGCCCTACATTTGAGATTAAAGCTACAGATTCATTATTCCTTTAAGTCACTAAATATAAATCCACACACAAGCACTATCCCTCCCCTCTCTGACAGCCTTTGAAGAAAGTTTGGATACAATTAAATTCTTCATAGGCAGGAGATTAAACAAAAGCAAAAAAGAATATAATTAAAGAGCAAATATAAGATTTAAAAAAAAAACCAAACAACAACTATGGCATTTCTCCAGATTATTTGTTTTATCCTAATTGAAAGGCTCTTTTTTATTATTTAATAACACTTGCTTCCCTTCTGATTTGTGGTCATTGCTCACTGTTCACAGTTACTAGACGTGGCGAATCTACTAGGTTAAAAGCCATCAAAAGTACCCACTTTAAAATGCCACATCTTTTTAATATTTAAAATGACAGACTATCACTGGCTGTGTTATAATTAGAGTGATATATACTTCAAGACAATATGTATTGCAAGTTGTGTTTGGAACAGTTTCTTAAATGACAGTGTTTCCATGCTATAGATGTAGCACCTTTAAATAATCAATTTAATTCAAAGCAGTCCTGAGAAGGATTCATTCACTTACCCGTATCCAGCTGTTGGCCTTCAGTTCCACAGGGTTCTGTGGTTCACTGCTGTATAGACAATATAAGCACCACATCAGAGTCTTCTGGCTTTCATCTGTAGGAAGAAAATAAAGCAAATAAGGATGTATTTAGAAAAGAAAAAAAAAAAAAAAATCAAAACACAAACAGAATTACACATCACACTCCCTACCTGTCCACAAAACTAAAGCCCTAAGTATCAGTCTCAACACATAATGCTTCTATTCTACCAGATTCACTCCACACATTTAATATTCATATGTAGTTTTTTGTGTATTCATTTCCTTTGATAGCAATTTAAAAGGTATCAAAGAGTTCAAAATCTATACAATATCAAAATGGTATTAAGAAACATCCATGACCTAGTGTCGCATTCACATAATATTTGCAGCTATCATCAATAGATTTTCAGTATCTAAATAACTTCATTAATAATAAACACTGAGCAACAGTAGTAAAATACCAAAGCTTGCAAAATTAAGAACATTCACTTCTGAATAATTTAAGTTTGTCAAGTAGGAAATAATTCATAACAAGAAATAATTCATAACATCAAATTTTCTCCAAGAATACATTAAGTTTCTCTATGCTTCAGGAAAATAACATTTCTGCAGATAGGAGAAAAGCTAAATACTGATCGAAAAAAAATCCTATCGCAATCTTCTGTTCAGGATGAGATCAGGTTTTACTTAATTCTAACCCACTGTTGGAAATGAAATGCCTTCTCTGAACACCAACTATACTGAGCAACACTGTCACCACTGAGATGCACAGATACTATTATAGAGAAGCTGACTATTTGGAGTAAGCAGTTGAAGAGGCATTTAATTCATTATTATTTCCCACAACTATGTTTTCAACTGGCTTTTTTTTTTTTAATATTCTTTCGCAGAATCCAAGAATTTCTTCACTGAATTTCATCCCATTTATTTCATGCAATAAAATTGCATGATTATAACAAAAATTATGAAAACTGGATGTAATATTGTAGCTCTCATATCACATCCACTTAGTAAATTATATAATTCTTCTTAAAAATAATATAAACAGGGGATACCACATAAGTTTTAGAAAACATATTAGGAGACAACATGATCATCAAGCTCAAAAAGTGATTTCTTTTGTTTTCTGTGTATTTGTTATCCAAGATGCAATAAACAGTATTATTTACAAGTGTTTTGTTGACAAAGCCTGTAGAAAAAATAAAAGCTCCAGTAAGTAATGCCTGTATTTTCACCAGGTGATCAGAGATGTTAATATTGATTTAAACCAGTATTCCTCAATAAATGTCCAAGAAGCCTGTAGGCCATTACTGGCCTCCCACTGACTAACATTTCTGCCCAGAGCTGCTTTCTCAAACATACACATTTAAAAGACTAGAATTTGGGCTATTCTGCCATTGTGCGTTTGGGGATTCTTTTTTAATATGGATTTTTACAAGGCTAATAATTTCCTAGGTTGTTTAAGATGGGAGTTAAAGGAGACATCTTGTATATTCCTCTGCTGAAATTTAAACTATCCATATAGTTTGTGATTATATCCAGCTAGCATTCAGACATCAGCACTGAGGCAACTATCTCCCTAAAAAAACATTTCACCTAAACTCTACTATGAAATTATATGCAAGGAAAAAATAAATAAATACTGTTTTATTTGTTTAAATGACTAAATGATAGCCACCTGTTTCTTGGAAAACAAAGATTTTAAATATTATTAATTACTAGTACTAAAGTATTTTCTGTTTATAAAGCCTGGCTTTTGAGATAATTTTCCATTGTATGAACTATACAGAAAGAGGGGGTGGAGAGGGGAAGAAAAATCAAGTCCAAATCGCCTACCCAAACAAAGTATACAGATAAACAGAATGAGTCAAAAGAAGGAATACTTGAACTATGTATATCTACTGTACACCATTAAGTCATTTTATTTAAGTTATGGTTGTCTTTGACCTAAAAAAATAGAGGAAAGAAGTGGAAGAACATGTATGTAACTGCTTAATTAAATTTCTCCATGAAAAGATTTTTTGCTATACATGGTGATTTGCTGCATACTATAAAGTAAATTGCATATATTATTGCCTGTCAGAAATGTAAATCATTATGATGAAAGCTAAAATGATGAAAACAAGGCTTAGATAAATGACATACTGGTGCACTTTGCCAGTATAATGAGTTTACACAGATTTAGCTAGATACATTCAAACTTCAATCTAAGTGAACCAACTTTAATTTGTGTTCCCAAAAAATAAGGGACTTGTACAGCTTCACAATTTTCCCAGTCAAAACTACTTTTTGACTACAACCAAAACTGAAGTAGCCTCCCATAGATCTGTGAAATGTAGGAAAAGGGACCGTACAGTCCTCTTGCTGAAGTACCCGGTGACACTCTGAGGGCCACTCTCAAGTTCACTGTTTTCTTTTCAGAACTGCTTTAGAACTGGACATGAAAGATGGGAAGATTAAGAATAAGGGGGCACAGATCTTAAAATAATTATCGCAGCTGGAAAAGATAATCACATTAAAAGACCAAGCACAGAGAGCTACAGAAAACTTACTGGTGGGGTTTTTCCTCCCATTTTTCTGGTAACTGTAATCCCCATGGAAAACGTACCACCATGGTATGCACTGAAAATCATTATCAGGATACAAATGAAGGCATTTGATCTTATTATGGCATGAAAGACTCACTACCCAAATAAATATCCAATTATTATGTCCAAAGGAATAAAATTAGTAACTCAAAGGTGGAAATTATATCCCCCAAAAGGTCACCAATTATCTACTGTACTAGGCTAATATTGTAACTCCAACTAAAGGAATGAAAATTTTCTGTAGGAAATTTAAGACAGCTTGGAAGCTAGTTTGTTAAAACAAACAAACAAACAAAAAGCCCAATCCTTTTTGATGAATCAGACTGCATTTCTTCCCTGCCAATCTCACATCAAAAAGAAAAAAAAAAAAAAAGAATAAGAAAAAAAAAGGCAATGCTTTTCTCATAATACAGTGTGGTCTCAATCATCCTATGACACAGTTAGTTTACAAATACCCATATGAAGGAACTAATAGGAAAACCCTAATCTTACAGCCACAAATATTCTTTTTAGAGCTTGCTGTAAAATTTTATTGAAATATATCCGAAAATGTTGATTAGCTAAAACAGAACTTTTTGTGGAAACGAATGCATACATAACCAAGCATGCTCACACACATACACTGACATAGAGCCACCAAGAAATTCCCCAGCATTTATCGTATTAGTTTGGGATTCAAGACATTTGGGCTCAAAACTCAAACCAGGAGGGTCCTACTGAGGAGATAATCCCCCAGTCCATAGAAAAAACACTGGAATTCCTTACCAAGTCTGAATTCCTCATGTATCCCTTGTGGTTTAGGACCACAAGTACAGCCATGAGATTTTATTTAGTCGTGCTTCCTTCACATTAGCGTTCTAAATAAGGCTAACTTGGTCACCTCCTGCTCAGGAGTGTTTATGAGGAGATTATTTACCCTTGGAGACCATGCTTCCTGCACTGAGTGGTCAGCCATGTCAGCCTCCAGCATCAACAGACATTCATCTAAGGTGATAGGTATTGTGGTTTGGACATGATGCAGAAGCATAATGTTTTTCCTCCTCCGTTTATTAGTTCGAAAGACTGAATTGAACAAAATTAGTTCCTTCTTCTGCGAGGGTGGTCTGGTCTCTGACACATGTCTGAATGAGCTATTTATCCAAATGAGAAATTACATGAAACCCACTTGAGAGTCAGCATCTGCTATAGCCAGCACTATCTTAAACAATGTCATCAGAAGTAGTGCCAAACAAAACGAAAATCTGCTGAATCTAAAATGCCAGCAGTTCAAAGAGCACTCAGGTGGCTCTAATAAGAGGAAGTGGTGGGAATGTATACGCATCTTCAGGTCTATTGATGTCAGAAAAACTCCTTGACTCATCTTTAATGCTTAAAGTGAAGCATTCCATTTTGAGCAAGTTAAGTTCTCTGAATTGGCATCCTTGCAACTTTGAGATCCATAAAAAACTTAAAACTCCATTTTCTTGCAGTCTTCAGAGGTAATGATCAACTTGCAGGAAAAGTGTTTTTCTTGCTTTAGAAAATGCTGAGGGATACCAAAGAAGACAAAGAAGTAGAAGTAGAAGAATCCTGGATTGTTGTGAAAAGGAGTCAAAAGCAGAAATAGATGGCTTTCAATTTTGATGAAATATATAGAAGAAGCTACTTTATATACCACAATACATTTTCAGCTCAGAAAAAATGATGGTCTAAAGACTTGTATATTAAAAAAAAACTTAGAAGAAAAGCATGTGTGTAATTGTTAACATCAACAGTTACCAACATTCTCAAAAACAGGAACTATGATTGAAAAGGGAAACATTGTAAAAATAAGTCTATCGAGTATGAAAAGGCTTTTCTCAAAAGGTGCCACAAAACCACACATTTGCTGCTCTATGAAAGTGATCTATGTTTAAATCTATGGATCCTTCCAAAATTTTCATTTCAGAGAGGAAGTGCTGATATAACATCAATCTACCATGTGTTTTGCAGACAAGTTCATTCTGCTTGTGCTTGGAGGAGTCTAGAAGATAAAGCCAAACCAAAAGACATATCATCACATTAGCCTAATGCTGTGTGTAACTTAATAGGTGAACTTCCAGGTGAACGTAAAAATTGTACTTTGCGGTATTTCCCCAAAAGGAAGTATAAACCTTTTTTTTGTAGTTGTAGTAATAGCAGGAGACTGGCAAAAGATTATTTAAGGGACTCGCAGAGAAGCTCATAATTAGCTTTCTGCTTAAGAGTAGATTCCAAGTCATTTATCAACATATCAACTTCTCAGTTCCTGAAAAATGTACTGGAACCACTGGTGAGGTAGCACAACAAGTACTTTCTCCTCCCTCCCAAGAGTTTTCCTGTCCCCAATTTCTTTTCTTTATTCTTATCTACACACATATACACCACCAGTAACAGGCTCTTGGGTTTTTGTATGTTTTTTTCCACTTCACTGTTTTGCTTTTTATTCCACGTGCATTTTCACTAGCTTGCAAGATAGGGAAAAAGCACATTCAGAACAAAGTCAATAAAAACAAACACAATCATAACTTAGTACAGTTTTACACTAATATAAAAACCAACACAAATATCACAAAAATATTCTGATGTATAACTGGAAGAAACTTCTTTTGAAAGTAATCTGAAACACTAGATTCTGTACATTCTGAAAACCTAACAAAAATGTAATTAATACAAGAAAATAAAAATGGAAATCAAGACACACATAAGCACTCACTGGTTTTAAAAGTCACTGCTACTAAATCAAGATTCTATAACTAATCCATGAAATTAATTAGCTTTCAAAGTAAATTTAAGATTTCTCAATGTCACATCTTTTAAATAACTTGGCTAACCTTTCCATCTCAAAATTTTACTTAAGTGAAAAAGAATGTTGTGTTATTATGGAAAAAAAATCAAAGTATTTAACAAGTTGCATTTTCCTAATTCATAGAGAATAAAGTTTATGAAACTGCTGCAGAAATATCATTACACATTCTTACCGTATCCCATAACAAAAGGATTCCAACAAAGCCTTCCTAGAAGTTGGCCAATTAAAGGGAACTGCTGGATTGCTACAATTGAATCCTGTTAAAACAAAAATATAATAAATATATTGCACATCAAAAGTATCTTAGGAGAACTGTTAATGACACAGATTGTCATAAATTACAATCCTACTGATTTTGCTGTGAAATGCTCTGGAAGCAAAACACCTGCATGTATGTAATAAAAGCAGAATTTCCTGAAATTGGCTATAATGTCATAATAATTCAAATAAGTTAAAGCTTAAGTAAGTAATTTCCTCACCTAATACTTAATTATGGTAGAAAATCTGTTCATTTGCCTCACATCCAGTAATCAGAAAACAGTATTAGGAACCAAGATTTCATAATAATAAAAGCACAAGCGAACTATATTTGTGTTGATCGTCATTGCTTTAATATACTGTCTCATGGAGTTTCTGAAGAAATTAATACCTACTACGGCATAAAACCAAGTATCTTTCTGTTACTTCCGCTTGCTTTCTTTAAATTAAATTACATAATGACTAGTCCATAACAAACTGCAATTTAGCTTTTAACCAAATAGAAAGCAGCTTCACTATAAAAGCAGTAATGTAGTTCATGTACAACCCTCTGTAATCAGTCTTATTTTTCCATTTTTGTAGCTTTACTATCTCATAAATGAAGGCTTTTAAAAACGGTGCTGTGCTGAGATAGCATGCAAGTAGCAGGAACGATAACCATCTCCTGCTGCTGCAATAAATTCCTTACATTTGTCTCACATTTGGGGCTAGCCCTAGACTTTCTGGGGCCATATTCACAAGGTCCACTTCAGGCCAAGCCTCAGATTACTTGAAGTAGAAACATTAAAAATAGATATTTTTCACCTTCTTAAGAAAAAGTTACCTATAAATACAGGAAGAAACATCACTGCCTAGAAATCTTTTATCTCAAAATTAAATTCAGTTCAGAAAAAAGTATCAACTCTGCAGTCTTTAGATAAGAAGAATATTTAATAAGAAGTACTTCCAGAAGAAGTCAGTCTCATGCCATAATGCAGCATTTCTAAAGCTAATTATACTGAATACATATCCTGAAAAAGCCAAGCTCAGGAAAACATACAGAAAACAAAAAATATAAATAACTAAACTTACTTTTAAAAAAAGCACTCCGGTGAGTGCAGACAATAATTAAATTACTAAACAGAACAGCCAGTAGCATATGCCAAGGATCTGACCATGCTGCTAGAATTCACTATGTGTGCCATAATACTGGGGTTAACGTGTCAACAGACTCTCTCTAAGATTTAAAGGATCAGTTACAGTTTTGCATGTTAAGGCCTTTAAATAATCCAATTTATGACCTGACAACCAGAATCAAATTCTTGTTTATTTTAAAGAGTTTTTTAAAGAGGCTAGAGCATTGGCTGGGAAATCTCACGTGACAACAACTAATCAAGAAGAAAAAGCTCCTTAGACAATAAATCAGGGAAACAGGAAGCCCACTCCTGTTTGCATTACCTGTGACCGTTTCCCCAGCTTGCCTCTTTGATCCAGCAATACATTAGCTCAATAACACAAACCCCTTTGCTACTGTTAGTTTCTGTTTTGTCAAAACACGGGGCAGATTGTTTCTGAGGATGTCTTCAAAACGGGTCACTCTTCCTCTTAAGGTTGCTTACCGTATGTTTTAAAGTTTCATAGACCTGATGCAGAAACTCCTGGAGCTGAGGCAAGTGAAGGCACACATCCTTCTGTGACTCCAGCGTGGTGGCTTGGCCCCATTTAATAGCTTTATCCAACCAATATACAAAGTCCAGTTTGGGCACTGCAGTGTCCTGGGCCATTCCACAATCCTGAAAAAAAGTTTATAACTCCCCATCAGGCAGCACTAAACACTGGCTTCAAACCAAGAATGAAGACGGGGAGAAGGATATATGCTAATTTTTTTGTGTTCATACATGAAGGGAGGTGTAGGAGGTGTCTTTGCATTTACATCTCAGAGGGTAAAATAATAACACCGTCGTATCGAAGTAGGAAAGAAGGACACAATAATCAGTAAATTACCTTAGAATATACCACTCAGCTGTTTCAGGCTTTTGTGATCACCAATATTTCACTCAGAGTATTAGAATAATGAGTGTGCATTTATTTAGATTGCTTTGCATGACAGAAAACTGAAAATGTCCATTTCAAGATAAATGAAAACATTAAAATAAGGCTCAATCAAAACAAAAGGGGTTAGGTAGCAAAATTGTTTTGAGTTCTATATCTGCAGTCGATCATTAGTTTTAAGTGCAAATTGAGTACTCTCCTTAAAAGAAACTAACAAATTTAGTATTTCAGCTCTGTTTTCATACTATGATACAGAGGAGAGGGAAAAAATATGAGCACATGCAGCTTTAAATACAACTCAGTACTGAATAAAAGCTGTACTGTATGTAACCTATATCCAATGGCACACTTCGCTGTAAAACCGGGGTCTTTGAGAGATAAGCATTATTGCCAAGCCAGAATGTTAAAATCTAACCCAGTAATTGCCCCAGTAAAAGACAGCAAAAAAAACACCCCACATTTTTTCTGCTATCCAATTACATTCTTTGTTGGCAGAAGGACAGAGAATAGCACAGCAGGCACTACAACAATCTTTAAATCTCTCTGAAAGAAACACCTCATAGGCTGAAATAGCAAATGAGCTCTTGCAGGCATTCTTCGTTCTTTCTCTCAAGACAACTGTCAATTAACACAAATGTGGCAGCAGTTTTCAGAAATGAACTGTTGCCCACTTGGAGACAAATTCAGACACCCATAGAAGCAACAGAAGTCAGTGACCATTTGCCTTTGTAAGCTGAAGAGCTACAGACCAACAAAATAAACTTGAACCTGAGCAGCAGCCCTTCAAATCAAGCTTGCTCTAAACAGCTAACCCTTACAATTACATAATTTATATAGCATGCTAATCTGAGCCAGATAAGAATCTGAAGATCACTATTAAACTTGTTTAATTTCTACAAGTAATAAATAAATGCCCCATAGTGAATCTCAACTATTATTTGACTTTGGATCCTGTCCAGCAAATAAAAAAAAAGAAAGGTAAAGCTGTTGGCTTGCCAGAGTTCAATGCCCTAAAAAAAAGTAATGCTTTTTGTGTTCTTTATCATACTCCTGTTTCTACCTGCAACTGGTGCTGTGAGCAGAACTCGTAACAGAACTGTGCAGTGCCAAGATATTACTGATCTTCTATGAGTATCAAAAACAGGCTACAAAACTTCATCACCATAGCTCTCTGAAGTGGACATAGGTCAAACACCCAGCAGCTATTAGCCATCAAACACTCTTTATCATCACAGGGAGATAACAAAGCCTTTAAGAACAAATCCAAGCCAGGAACTGAATTTACACATTTAAGTAAATTAATGAGCCCATTTGGTGTTCTCAGGTAAGATTAATCCTCCCAAATAACTGAAAAATAAGTCCTCTAACAAAATGGCTCCTAAAAGATCCAGAAAAAGGGAAGGGACGGAAAAAAACAAAAAACACAGACACTCCAGCGTTTTGGGGCCATTCACATGAGTTAACTACATATTAACAGAGGATTTGAGGTAAGCAAATCAAGCAGCCTAATCTCCTATACCAGGTACCTGTAATTACTATTTCAGGATGCAGAATGGCGCAGCGATCACAGGCTGAGGATGGTCCTCTTCCAGAAATCTGACATCCCATCTCCACAATAAGAATGGTGTTTTACCTCCCTTCTTACTTACAGCTAAGTAAACTGGATTGCTGGTTCAGAGAGACCCCTTAGCAACTCCTTAGCTGATCCAGAGACATTGCCTTATAGAAAAAATTGTCAAAGACTGTACATTCTTTTTTAACTACAATTAAAAAAAAAAAAAAAACCAAAACCAAATAGAGAACATCAACACAAATCATAAGAGAACGGAAATCTTAAAGTCGGTTTTTATTCCATTTCTGAAGTGAATTAAAGGATAAATAAATGTATTTCCCTGTTCAATTAGTTTTCTGAAACTGTTCCAACTACCATCAGAAATAAGGAGCAAGTGTTCTATATGACTAATAGAATGGCTAATCCGCAGTGCATATCTGTAATAAACTGTGCTATATACACATTTAAAAAAAAGGGTAAATAAACTATTAAGAGTGACATGAATAACAACCATTGTTTTGGGGGGGAGGAAGCAAGGTTGAGCACTTCTGTGAAGCTTAATACAATAACTACCTCTGCCAATCCAATGGTAGCAGAATCCCCTACAACAGCTACTAGGAGCTGACTGCAGGTTTTCAAAAATTATCATCACAAATTCTGCTAATGCTCAAAATTTCACTAGTATCTGTTTTGTGACACAATCAATTCATGGTTTATAAAACTCACCTTAAGATCTACAGAAGAGTTAATCAAAGTACCATTTCCAAGCATTGCTGCATTGTTCATATAAGCCACTGGCCTTTGTTTAGCATTTTATATGTGCTTCAACTCATCCTTGACCAAGAACATGCTTAATTCAATAAGCACTAATATCTAGCTGCATTACTACATTGCTTATGCCACACTAAAAGAAAACCAGAAAAAATAATTATCCCAAGCACCTGTTCTATTTCCAATAGCACGATTTTTTAAGCTGTACTTACATGTTTGCTTTCTTTAGAAGCCCTCAATGAAATAGCTGTTTTATTGATTGTTATATTGTTAATAGTTATTTTAACTACAGCATTTAGTCCTGAAAAGAGCAATTTTATTCATATAGCTTATTCTTGTCTTCACCTCAACATTATTGGAAAGCATACAGTATAATTACTGAATGTATAGATAACATAACTAAAAAGAAAACATAGCATACCAAACCTGACACACAGGTTTCTGCTCAAAAAACTGTCACAGGTTATATAGTTTATTAACAAGAGAAACATAAAACTATTAGCTGATGAAATGTAATTTAAACATTCAGATCCCCGTCAGATACAGAACGTACAGATACAGACTTACAGAAACCATAGACAATAAAGACTTGATTCATAATTTGACTTTTCATACTTGCCAAGTATATTCCTAAAGTCTCTCTCATTTCCAGTCTCTTCAGTAAGTTGGGACTCCTTTTATTTCAGCTGCCAAAAATGAAATACTTTTTTCCTATTTATGGCTATTTATTCCACAATATGAGAAATTCAGAAGCTGGATTTACTGTGAATCACCTTAAAATATCCTTCACTTCTAGTAAGAAGGGGAAGAAATAGTCTTTAGCCGTGCTCTCTCAGAACCCCCAGTCAAACCCTTCCCATCTTGTACTTTCAAGCACAGGGAACCCTGTGGAGCTCAGGCATGAGGGTACTTGTTATGTCTTTCAGAAGCTGAAGGCAGCATTTCCAACAAGGAATGGATTAGCTTTCTCTGACAAGGGAGCTATCTGGATTACTGTCTGAAATGTTAACACTTTAGTCAGTAACTTTTGTTACCAGATCTTGAGGCAAAGTCCTACAGTATACCAGGGCAGTCCACCTAACAACAGAGTTACTGCTACATCCTCCAGAACACGCACATACAAACACCATAGCCTCACAGCCTTCCACGTTACGACATACCTGAATGCTGTTCATCTGTGACAGACAGTGAATTATTTGTAAGGGTAGGAGAGACACCAATAACGTTTTTAGAAAAATTCTCACAACTGTCTCCTTATGTATAATCTGAAAATTAAATACTTTTGCATTCAGCATGTAAGGTAGTAAAAGAATGAAGATTTTTTTTTCTCTAGAATTGCAGAAAAAAAAAATCTTTTTAAGTAAAGCCATAAAAAGAGAAAAATCAAGTGAAAGCAAAGTAACTTCTTTACTACTACAAAGTCTGAAACTCAGGACTCAGCTGTAGTAAAAAGGGAATATGTGGTTGCTAAAACATTGCAGCTCCTCAGAAAGCATTTCTGTCAATCATAGGAAATTCTGTAACAAACTTTCGTAATTTTCAATGTCCCCAAATCTGGCTTTAATAGATTGCCAAAAACTACTACTAAACTTTTATTACTTGGTTTGTCTTTAATCTTGTAAATTCAATTGTTATTTTTAAATAAAAGCATTTCAAGTCAAAGGATGTCTGAGATACCATGAAGGTACAACATTGCCTTATGTCATAGCATTTCAAATAAATGTGACAAAAACTTGCATTCGAGATATAAGGCTCTAATTATATCTTTTCCTGGAACCAGTGAGAAGTAATTCCACACTCCAAATGAACACTTCACTTGCCATCACTCCATCTCCTCTCTCAAATCTTGCCCATCAGCAACCTCCACTTGTGAGGAAAAAACAAAACAAGAAAACTGTTAAAATACTTGTATGACACCAGGTTTCAAAGGCTCCAAACAGAACAGGTCACCATTGAGCTAACAGAACTCAAAAACATACATTCCAAATTACAAATTATCTTTAGGGTTCTTGACGCCTAGAAAAGCAGTAGAACAGTCCTTTTTTACATGTTTATTGTTCTAATAGATATGAGGAGACTAACACTAGGCATTAGAAGACTAGATATTAGGTAAGCATTTCAGGATATTATATAAACAAAAGATAACATGATTTTGACTCCTTAGTTAATCACCCTTAAGTCAGTTATGATACAGGATGGTTGATACTCTAATAGAGCAGAAGACTAATAACTTACTGTTTCCATGTTTCAAAGATTATGATAATCATGTCATGAATTTAATATCTAATGGATGATAATTTGAGGTTATTTTAAAAAACAAACAAACAAAACCAGTAGCAGTTATCCAGAACATAGATATTACTTTTCTTTTTTATTATTCCTCTACATAACATGTCTTATTAGGTTCTT